AATTAGGGAGAGGGGATGCTTATAAATCAGATTATTAGAGTTTGGAGAAATATTGCGAAGAATATCACTACGTCGACTCGCCATCAGATGTCTATCGATATTCGCAAATTCTCGCAAGTGCTAAGATACGCGTATATCTCTTTATATAGAATCTCGATTTAATAACTTACCAAGGCGTATAAGAGATTTTTTAACGCGGGGGAATAAATAGGTAACAACCGCTCAAGGTATAATCACGAAATCGTCATTTTTAGCGAGATATGGGGCCAAAAATGATGAAAAATCTATTTTTTAATTATTTGACTAATATTTTTTTACGGACAACCAATGGGTCGTAGACAAAAATGTGAAATAACCAATTTTGCTTAAAATCAGCCAAATAATACGAAAAAAATTATTACGAATGGAAAATCGAAAAAAAAAATAATTTGTTTATAAAAAATAGTTATAAACAAATGAATTGAAGGTTTAAAGGACTCTATTATTTTTAATAATAATTCACACGTTAAATAAGGCGAATAAGAGTCAAATTACAATATGAAATCTAATTTTGATAATTTATTCTAATATTATATATTGCGAAGAATATCACGTAATTTTTGGCGTTTCGTCCCGGCTTCCACTACTGGACTCATCAGTAAGGCAATATAGTGGAAGCCTACCTTAGACGCCTGTTTAAGTTATTAGATCGAGAATCTATATATACAGATATACGCGTATCCAAACATTTGCGAGAATCTTTGTGAATATCTATAGACCTCTGATGGCGAGTCGACGTAGTAATATTCTTCGCAATATATTTATTCAAAGTAATATATGTGTTACCCTCCCACCCTCCACTACATTGCCTTACTGATGAGTCCAGTAGTGGAAGCCGGGACGAAACGCCAAAAATTACGTGATATTCTTCGCAATATATAATATTAGAATAAATTATCAAAATTAGATTTCATATTGTAATTTGACTCTTATTCGCCTTATTTAACGTGTGAATTATTATTAAAAATAATAGAGTCCTTTAAACCTTCAATTCATTTACCCACGATTTTTTAACGCGGGGGAATAAATAGGTAACAACCGCTCAAGGTATAATCACGAAATCGTCATCTTTTTGCCAGATATGAGGTAAAAAATGCTGAAAAATCAATTTTTCAATTACTTTTAACTTAAATATTTTTTTACGGACAACCAATGGGTCATAGACAAAAATGTGTAATAACCATTTTTGCTTAAAATCACCAAAATAATACAAACGAATTTTTTTCGAATCGAAAATAAAAAAAAAAAAATTTGTTTATAAAAATTGTTATAAACAATAGTAGGCTCCATTTTAATGAAAAGTACCCTCGATATTCGGATTCAGCGGGTCAAAATACGTATAATAAGACTCGGTACAACCGTGAACCTCAATCGGCCACGAACACTT